CATACGTTGACGATTTGACGCGCATAGCGCGCCATATACGCTAGTATCTATAAAAATAGGATATATATATCTAGATATAGTTACCATGTATTTCTGAATATATATATTTATGTGGGCCTAACACCGAGTTTTTTATTTATTTTGTAACCTAGTGATGACGTACTCCTTTGGAGGGAGGATTATCATGTAGGAATGAAAAAAATTTGAGAATTTTTTCGTAACTCACCAGAAATGCAAACCGTCAAACACAGCACCAATAAATGATTCCGCTGGACTTCCATTAAAATATATATTCCCAGTAGTTCCGTTTTAGTTTTTATATACTCCACCAAAGAGTCAGTCATTCACAAAACCAGACGTGAACCCCATGATTAATATTGATTGTACACGTATATACTTTGCTTTTATCTCATTCTTACGTAGAATAAAAATTATTTCAACGAATAGTCTGTATCATATTTACTCTAAGATTATTAATTTAAGTGTATTCAGGTGTGTCAACTAGAGATGACGTACGCCTTTGCTAGCGAGGCTTATTATATAAGAATGAAAAAAATTTGAGGATTTTTTCATAACTCACCAGAAATGCAAACCGCCAAAGCCGCGACAATAAATGAGTCCATTTAATCAAACTTAAAAATGCTGAAAACTAATTAGTAGTCAGCATCTTGACCATTATAATTAAATAATTTTCGTAAGTTTATATGGGAAATTAATAAATTGTATTACTTACAAGTCTCAACTTTCTGGATTCCGGTAAAATAAGAGGAAACTTCAAACTTTAGGTTCGAAATCTTTATTATAATGAGATTTAATCTGCAATGTGGTTGGGGGTGTAATGGACAATCCGTGGGGGTGGAAAGAAAGTGGAGGGAGAAAGGCCCAAAGTAGGTGATCGGTTGATGGGCGTGACTTCCGGGGGTTGGTCTCAGGTCAAGGATGAGGTCTAGGTGTGAAAGGTCCAGGTTAAGGGTTCGAAAGTAAATCGGAGGAATCACCGGAGTAGGGGTTCGAGGTACTTCTGAGGAAAGGAAAGTTCTGAGGGGTATTTTTATTAGGGTTGGTGAAATAAAACGATTTATTGGGTTTCAAGAAATGGAAAAAGGGTGAAATGGAATGACAGTTTTAGCATTGACATTCCTAACAAATAAAAAAGATAAATATTAAAAATTATGGGTATTTAACAACATCATTCTGTGCAACAAATCACGTCCATTATATAACAATTGTTTTTAAGAGCTCCCGAATGCTTTGAACTCTTATTAATTGATGAGTAGAAAACAAATTGGAAAATAAGAAATGATTATTCAACAATCTTTGGATTTTTTTGTATAGGAAACAATGAATAATATTTTAGACAGGGATGAACACATCTGCAATAAATTGTTGTGAACTTATTATGGTGACAACTTATTATTCTACTATTCATTGACATGTTTCTATAGATAGAGCCATCGATCATACAAAGTCGCAGTCGTCTCATTGTTCCAGGCCATAGCAGTTTGGATCCAGTTTCTGTACCTGTAAACATCAGTGAAGACTTGTGGACGTCCGCTGGAACAGTCCGGTCCCCAGGAAACGATGCCGATAGTTTCACCTCCACGAACCAGAGGAGCACCACTATCACCCTGAAATCAAACAATCGATGATGAAGAAGAGTTATCAGTTAGCAAACAAAAGATAAAAATTAGATTGATTGAAATACTCACATCACATACTCCCTCACCAAGATCGCTGACAGTGCAGATGTTTCCGGTATCGACCTGATCAGGCAAGAGCCTCTGGCATTCAGACAAACTGATAGTTTTCGCTTCTAGTTTCTTCAACCATGTCGATGGATCCACACTAGCTTCTGTGGTTTTCCCCCAGCCGCATACCTCCACATCTTCATCAGTCTGACTTCCATTACTTGGCAGACGGATTCTCTGCAGATTTGGCAACGACTTCAAGGGAATTTCTCTATCCAACTGCAAAGGACATCTCATTAAAGCGAAGATTCACTCGAATATTCGATATATTGAAGGAAGAATCAATTTCTGACCTTTAGAACAGCGATATCAGCAAAATTATATCTATTGTTATGCAAACCGTACTTGAAATCTTTGTGTATGAGGGCCTTGTACACTCCAAATACGTTGTTCTCCCTGTGAAACCAGTTATGAGTGTTCGTTATGATTTGAAAGTCCCAACGAAGAACTCCGTCATTTTTGACGCAATGAGCTGCTGTCAAAATATGCATTTTGCCTAGTACACTTCCTGCACAAACTGTATCAGCTGGGGTACGGACTCCCACCACCTGTGGACAATCTCTCCGAGCTGCATAAGTCCCTCCTATGATCTTCTCCGGAGCTCTTCCATAGCTCGCTACCAATAATTAATGTTATATAGAATCATGAAGATTACGGGATTCGACAAGAAAGACCCTAAACTTTATTCTAGTCGTTGATAAATATTTAAGAATTTAAACCAACATTAGATAATAATTTAATTGTAAATGGGAACGGTTTGTCCGCTGCTTACCGGCGATACAAATAACCGCGCACAGTGTCGACAATTGAATTCGTTTGAACTTCATTGTAATGATTTCTAGTTTTTATAATTCAGAGATCTTATATAGCATTTCGAACATCCCATTCTCATTGAGAGACTATCTTTTATTTGCGGATTATAAGTAATTACCATTTCTTGTGTTCTATTGAGGTCGATTCATATCTTTAATAGTCCTCTTCACCTCACGAATTATAATGTCAATTCAAATTAGCAGATGTTCTTTGCTTTGGTTAACGTGGAAAATTTATTGAGACTAACGAAGATTTGGATTCACTCAATTAAATTTGGCTGATCATATCTATTATTCGTTGCTATGGTGTGATCTATTCAATTTAGAAACATGAGCATTCGAACTTCATTGGATAAAAGAGGAAGACCTGAAATAATAAGAATTTCCGAAACGTCAGTCACCTAAATTTATTATCAACTTGTGAACTTAATAGAATTACAAAAACTCTTTGTAAGTCGTCAGGGATATCTCCGAAACTAAAAAAAATAGTGAGATTCCAATAACTGTTATTGTAAATCCCAATCAGCTGTTTAAAAAAAAGTTGTCAGTAAAATTTCACTCTCTCCCTGGAATTTTAAATTTATCAATGTGAAGTGAAATGTAATTTAATATAATTTAATACAATATAATTTTTAGTTTTCATAAAAATTTCGTTAATCACAATTCCCCATAAGAATTTCATTTAAGGCCCGGATGGACTGTCTGGAAAAGATAATTTACTCCAAAATTGGGACTTCCAATTACTCCGTCAATTAATCGTTTTTTCAGATAATTGTTAGCTAGCGGCTAGCTAGCGCTAGCTAACGCTTATTGAAAAAAACGATTAATTGCCAATGTAATTAGGAATCCGAATTTCGGAGTAAATTATCTTTTCTAGATAATCCACCCGAGCCTTAACTTGAAATTTCATATTTTTGTAACTTTTGATAATGACTCCCAATATCTTCGTGGACTGGCATTTCCGTTGATGAGTCCTGTGTCCGAATTTAGAATTGAAATTCCTTGGAGGAAACGAAAAAAATCGAGAGATTATCACAATGTCGCTCCGTGCAGCTCCTCATATTGAATCTCTGAATGATATTTATCGCCCGTGGAGAAGAGTCTCAAGGATGAAGTAAATTTTTACGTTTTAACGAAACTTGTTGGTTCAACGGGAGGCCTCGTAACAACCGAGACGATACTGCCACCTGCGACGTTAATGCTCCACTGGGGCACGATACTTTCGGTATTTAGTATCCATGAAGAATAAACGAAGATTTTCGCATTTTTATCATTCATTGTTTAGCGAGGCAGGTACATAAATATTAGCCTGAATAGTTGACTAACTTGCGCATCATGATTTACATTTCGATCTCTGGTAACCTTATGACACTAGTTAGACCCTGGAATTTCAAAAGATGTAAAAAGATATAAAAAATTATCTTCTATTTTTCAGATAGGACAAAGGCACAGACCGGAAGACTTGAGTGCGTAACCGGTGGTGTGTCTTTTCAGCTAAACATGGAGGGAGAAGTCAAGCCAAGTGCCTCCGGAGGAAGACGAAGTGCCGTTTGAAGTTGTAACGAAGAGACCCCAGAGTTAATTAAGAGGATCCAAGCTTGACGGACGTGGGCATTGTGTGCCCGCACCCTCACTCCCCATTTCTCCCTTTATACCGCATTTTTCACTTCTCCATGGCAACAAAATGCGTGTACATCTTGGATTCCATTTAAGGGTGTGGATACGTGCTCAACGAAATGGCGAACATGTCATTCCACAAGATATACCAAATTCCACTTCTCCCCCTCAACCGTGACCTTGAAAAAACTGAGTTAATGAATTACTGAATTAGTATTCCATATTTCAAAATATTTGAGAATGAAGATTGTTGAGATCTTTCTGTTTTAACTCAATCCAATCATAACTCAGAATGTCAGTTTTAGTGGTAGCGTGTCCTCGTTGAAAGATCATTACAATAGCTACATCCTGGCTGAACCTTGACTTCTGGAACAATTTTTGCATTTCCTGGGATTAATGATCTCTTTAGATATGATGTTTCAACATCAATATGTTTTAATATGTTGTTTCATCTTGATAAATCTTTCTCAATGATCTTTCATTAATATTTCAAAATCGATAAACAGATTTGTTTATTCATCTATAGGAAACGATGAGAAAGGTCAGAATCTAAGAAATCTATTTAAAAAAGCATTTAAATCTCTCAACCGGAAACAACGAATTGTACATATATGTTCTGTAGAAAAAATCGCAAGAAATTAATCTAGGTTCCATATTATTTTATCTGAATATTTCTCGCATTCTCTTTTATATAACATGTCATGCAGTAATAAAGAGACAATCAATCAACAAGTTGGAATAAAATTCCAATTAAAACCGATCAATAAATTCCAAGTATAATACCGCATGACGCACTTGACCGTTGAATTTCATGACTGCATGAGTGCACCAGAGGTGCGGGTCTGAGACCACACGAGTTAGCTATGTTAATTCTCCTAATGTCACATGAATTATGACAAACCCAGGATATTCTTCCTCTGGTCCCTCAGTAGGTGCGGCAATTGCTGACGGAGGCGGAAGACCCTGAAGACCGTCCGGTGTACTCTACGCTCGAATAATAACACAAACCAGAACAACTCTTTTTACCACAGATGATAAAAAATAAAAAAATACAATGGAGGATTTTTGTCTGTTACAGAATTATTCTCTCTGCATATCTTAAGTCGCTACCCGATAAATTCAACGGAGCCGCGACCAAGCGTAAGCGCCTTATCGGCGAGAATTTTTGTAAGCAGGATGAGGCACATGCCTGAGGACACTCAAGGGCAAGTCATTTATAAACAAAAAAAAAATATCAAGACAGGAATTTCATCTGCAATTTAGATTGGATAACAATTAAATGTGAGGAAATTAGCATAGGAGTTGTGATTTTGTTTTGCAGATGAGGTCATGGGGCAATTTAGAGACATCCTTTTCACGCATGTGAGTTAACTTCAATCACTCGACGTCTTGATGGTATACGATGTCCGATTGGCCATTGGGCTGTGAGATATGAGCCGTGTCTAATTATCAACGATCATTGCGCCCACCCTGCTGTCCAATCAAACCACCTTCCTGTGTCTAGAGCGTTCATCATCCGTTTATTACACATCGCAATCACTTCCGATGAATAATGCCAATGGATAACTCATCAGGAACTGATCATCAGAAATAGTGGATAAATAGGAAATAAATTATACGATGACAACTTCAGATACAACTTCCTGGCGCTACATTTATCCAAACTTGCATCATAATATTCTGTTGCATTACCCAAGTTGTAATTAACTGTCTGGATATTTGCCGTTTGAAATGAGCTAGGATTGGTTTGAAAATAGGGGAAGGGATGATGATGGTCGTTTAAATGTCGAATTCATAAAGTCGACACGCTCATAATCCACCGAGATAACCAAATGAATAAATTTCATGGATATAATATGTTGGAACCTGCGTGAAACGCATATATCCGTTTGAAGTTTGAGTTTGCTGTATGTGAAATGGTATTTGCCGTGTAAGAACCACTGGAATAGAAGTTAGAACCAGTTTATCAATCGTTACCGGTGAAATCCTATGGTCTCTGGAGTACACCGACGGTATTATAAATCGTTGGATTCGTTGTAAATCCGGCTAATTATTATACGATATTCGTATAACCAGTTTTACAAAACGTTATCGGTTTTACTAGGAGACTGGAGTATCAGGAAATAAATTCAGGGATACGGGAGTCGATGAATCGGTTATTTATGGAGTTTTCATCATTCTCCGGTGAGTGATAGGCTAATTTATCTATTTCGTGGTCTTCCTGACATTGAATTATTGTTCGAACCTTTAAACTCCTTCAGTTCCATCCATATTTTCCCCATTTCCCTACAAATCTTGGAAAATTCAAATAAATACATTTTTTCTATTTATTTTAAATATGAAATTCAATTATTTATCATTAGGAAAAAAATCATTCAGAAGTCAAATTACCTCGAAGTGCTGATTGTCGAAACCTTAAGAAAAAACTTTTAAAAAATGAAAAACGCGAAAGCCAAATTTTAGCGAAGAATTACCAATCAATTTTTTAGGTACCTTCAATGTTTTTCTAGAAATGATTTACAAATCGTAGAGAAGTAAAAAATTAAACAATGTCTCTTAAAAATTAGCGACAGTATCTGTACCGCTGAAAAATCTTCAACATGTACTGTACAATCGTCGGTTGTAGTTGTTTTAATATTTCATCGACGCTCATTCAAAATTTTTGCTAGCAAGGCCAATGCTGTGTACTCGTTGACACGAGAATCAAGTTGAGCATGAATATACGATGTTAAAATTGGTCCGGTTAGACACACCAGGGTGCGTTTAAACTCGTACATTACATTGAGTAAAAACTCGCTTCGGCAGAACTGCGCTACCTCCTTGGGTGGTAGGCATCACAGCACTCGAAGATGTGTGCACCCAATATGTTTGATTTAATAAATTTATAGCACTCACCACGAGCTCATTAATATTCCCTCGAGCTGCTGACTGTGGGATTAATTAAAAAATTAATTGCTCCTGCGAATAATCGAATACCGTGCGCTATTCCAAATTCGATCCCAAGAGAAATTTCCATCAGAAACTCATACGATAATTTCTCTAAAAATTACAGGAGTAGCGGATAAATTCAAGTTTGAATTGCGCGCGTATAATGGACTCACGCGAGGGACCAACCACGTTGTGACCGATCGACGAAAACACCCGAAGGCGGACGGTATTTCACGACCTGTGGCATCAGTCACTAAAAAAATTATGAGTTGAGTAAAATTTCCACTGGTTCCACGATTATTTCCGTTTCTTATCAGTAAAAATTGATGATTAGAGTAGTAAATTTGACTGCCCTACCTTTTGGTAAAATCAGGTACTGATAAGAGTAATAGATACGAGTAATTTTTCGTGGATATACGGTCTCGCCGTAGCCATTTCAAGTGGAGCTCCTCGAGGTAGAGTTTCTCGACAGGATGTCGGGTAATCATTGCATTCTGAGATGGATGGCAACAATGGGGATGCTGATTTCCGTCCAAAACTTTTAAGGGCTCAAGCGAACACTGAATAATGGCATTATGTTTTTTTCAAGCTTCTCGAGGAGGAGAGCCGGATGCGTTTCGGTTGTAATCCAGTTTTCTAAGAGAGGGTGTATGCACTTTGAAATATCAAAAAAGTGGACAGGAAGTGTGACCCGGTCGAGGTGGAATTGGATTGAGGGCTTAAGAGTGTAACCCGGACTTGGAGGGTCATCGATCTCTTCCTCTTTGACTCAGCAGCGAATCCGAGTCTTTCCAAACGTTTCCCATTACCATTCGTCTGAAAGAAACACCTCCGATGATTCTTCCACAGTGAAAAACTTGAATAACATCGGAACAAGTGAGGATCAGAGAGCGTAATTTACATGACGCCATAACTACAGGTCTTCTCATCCAACATTTCACAAGAACTATCCTCCCCCCTCGACACCCACGTGAATATGGTAAAACGGAAAAGGCTGTTGCAAGAAGAATTGAGTATGACAAAAAGATGAGGCAGGTGAAAAAGCCAGAGTGAAATGAGATAAATAAACGCATTGGCAACCGAGTGTTGAGTGAGCTAAAGAATGAAACTTTAGAAGAGCGAACAGCTAATTAGGGAACCGCTCGCGCCAAACTGTAGACCACTTGTGGTATACCGTATAGGGATATCGTGATTACAGTTAAGAGGGGATAAGGTTAAAGAGTATGTGCAATACACATGTGTTGATTTTTTTCCTATGTGTTGCTCGAGTCATATACGTACGGTGCTTCATTACCGGGCCGTGTTAATTAGCCGACGATAACCGATCAAACCCAAGAGGAATCGTCCAACCGTCGAATTATACGAACCGGCCTGAAACTAATACATTTTTGTATTCCTTTGCTTTGTACCAACGATAAAATTCCAGAGAGAATATCATTGATAAATGTGTGAAGTGATTAATTAATTAATAATTAGCTGACATCTTGATTGAGGATTCAACTCACGATGATTATTCAAGCGTTTGAAAAGGCCTTGAATTTCACTTTGAATTTCACTCTCGAAAATGCGAAACAATTAGAAGTTGGTCTCTTTAATTTTAATGATAATGACTATCAAAATAATGACTGGATGACTTGGATAATGACTATCGAAATACCAATTGAATTTGAATAGTGTTTGAAAAAAATGAATGAGAAAAATTCATTAATGCACTGCGCAGTTTGAGATTACTATGTAAAGTAGGTAGAATTGCATAGATGGGTGCGAGACACAGTTGGAAGTATATAAAACTACGGCATTAACAGCACGTGGGAGACACGCCTACCTGACGAACCTGACTCTGGATCTCTCTCTTTCTCATCCACCATCGCCTCCCCTCCTGGCACTCATTGCCGCACTCTTTATACCACATTGAGGTTGACCAACCCTCGAGTTGTTGGCAATTAACATCTGCAAACGCGAAAGAGCCTGAGTTCAACGTTAATTAACGAAACGTTAACTCCACTGGAGTCTCTCTCCCGGTGCCAACCTGAAGAGGTGCAACTGAGAGAGGCCAATCGACATCAACGATGGGTAGCTAACTGTGAGAGACGTGGAGGGAAATGTCCAGGGGAATGGGTACCACGGCGGCGCCTTTCGTCTTCTAAGTACAAACTACATCGCTTGTCGATTCAACGTCTCTTTATCCTATTTTTAACATCTGATGTTAATTTTTTCACTGCTCCTCTATCAGCATTACCCCGATTCACCAACATTTCACGATAACGCTCTACCTGAGGCTATTTGCTAATGATTTTTACCCTCTCTTTTTTCCTACTCTAGTCACCGAGAAATTACAATGTTGCTAGAGTCAAACGGGAGTTCGAGTTTGTTGGCAGATGATTACGATATATGCCGGAAGTGAGGAGTCAACTGAGAAGTCAAATGAGGAATCAACTGAGGGAGTTGGAGATATATGCATATTATATTGGACTCCCGTTGACTTTTAACGCGCACACAAGGGGAACGTCAAGGACTCCTTGAAGCATGTCATGTTACCAACCTGTCTGGGTTGTGCTTCCATTGTCGTATCATAGACTTGTTCTCTGAGGGTTGTCTCAGTCGTGGCGAAGATGTCTTGGTTTTCTTCGGGATCATCACAATGCCCATCTGAATACCAGCAAATGATCTACCATTCAACGGGGCACTTCGCCCACCAGCCTCATCCTGGCATTCACAAGATGATGTGGATGCGGTTATCCGGATGACCAATACCTTCTCTACTTTGGGTTATGTATGACGCGTTTGTTAGTTCCCAGCATTCAAATGTTGTTTTCGCTTTTGGTGGCTTCTTCGTACTTCAAACTGAGAGTCTTAGCACGTCTTGTTGAATTCACCCAGTGCATTTCCTTCAGAATAATTCACGAGTGAATCAAACAAATATTGAACTTCTTCCTTGAAATTAAAGCTGGTATACCCTGTTTTTTGTTAGTCAAGTGAATTTTTAGGTGTGCGCAAGTGAATTTAAAAACAAAATCATGAATATCATCAAGCTTTCTCAAATTTCCACTCATTCTGCTAAAGTTTAGAATAATTTCACGTATTGTGTTGACTCTCTTCAGACATAAATTCCCCAACAATAGCGAAGAGCTTGTTTCCTCGGCAAATTGATTGTCCTCTTGAAGTGCCATACAAGACACCGTTCTATGCAAGACAACCCCATTCAACCTGTGTGGTCCTGCCCAGCCTCACTACCTTCTAA